GGTTTAAGCAATCAGAAGGTACTCTGTATGTATAAGAACCATTATCGACCTACTTCTAAAATCTATATTCTTTCTACTGAATCTTTCAGACACAGGTGAGGATGACAGTGAACAGGGCAATCCTGACATGAAAGCCTGATTGAAGCTGAAAATGACAATAAAATATAAACATACTGTTTGACAAGCTTTGCTGTGAAAAAGAAAGACAACACATCCCGGGGATTATTTCAGACCACTGATTCTCAAGAGTGTGCATTGGGGGGGAGGCAGTTCAAGCACAATTTGACATATATTTCTAAAGCTACTTTGTGTGTAATTCTGGTGTTTGAACAAAGTAGCTTATCAGGCTTAGAAAGGATGTATGGAGAGTTCAATCTTCTTCCACATTACCCTGGATAGAAAAGCTTGTGATATACAGACAAGCTCCTATGAATATCACTTAAAGTATATAAGTTTATCTTGTAAAGATTTTTTTTTAAAGTTATAAAATCACCAAAAGGTGAAGGGCATATTTGATTCAAGGTTTTTCTGGGTTAAGATAGTGCATTGGCCCTAAGAATTTATCTCTCCTCCCTCCCACTGCAGTAAAATGATGGAAATCAAAAGGTATGAGAAAAACTACTGATAAGACACATCATCGTGAATGATTTTCAAAGTTATTATGCTAAGTAACAGAAGTCAGTTTTAAAAGGTTACACATAATATTTCCATTTATAATATTCTAGAAGCTAAAACCATGGGGATGGAAAACAGATCAGTGGTTGCGGGGGGTTGTAAGTGGGGAAGGAGGAGGGACCATAAGGGATCATATAAGGGAGTTTTTTGGAGGGTGATGGTACTTCTCTATATCCTATTATGGTGTTAAAACTGTACATTACAAAAAAGTTTACCATATGATAATCTAAGAAACAATTTTTTTTAAAGATATGGGCCCCAAATTTGGATAGAGAGGAGACGGCAACAGATAAGCAATTTCAACAACTTTCTGGAAGAGAGAAAGCAGATAGAATATGACTGGTCTGGACAGAGGAAGCTACAATCTAAAGGGACTGCAAGGGGGATACCAGCGAGAAGTGTGCTGATTGGTTCTACAACCCCTGAGAAGCTCAGATTTGGAGGTAAAAGTCACAGTAGAGAGTAGAGGCAGGGACAGGCCTGGAAATGACAAGTCAAAAATCACATACAACAGAATGGTCAAATCCCCAAGTCCTCTGCCCTCTCCCTCTCAGTCACACAAATAGGATCTCTCAGCTCCATCACTATCTCCCACAGGTAGGAGACCAGAGAATTTTTATCTGGAGAAATTAATGGGAGACAACTAGATAGAAGGGAGATGGAGGCAGGGCAGGGGGGTAAAGGGAAATGTGTGTAAAGTAAGAATCAGAAGGAGAAGTGGAGGATAGGAAGAGGTAGAGTTAAAAGAAGTAAGAAACATAAACTCCTGGAACCCCTTTCCTTCTGCAGAAAACTAGAGAATTCTTCCCTAAGAGAAACTAAAAATCCCAGAGAAAAGGTCTGCAGCCAAAGGATCTGCTCCCTACCAACCATTCTCTAACACATTGCTTCTCAAAATGTAGTCTACCTATGGAGGCTGACCTGCCCACAGTTTATTACTTGTCTAAGCTTTTTATCATGAACAGGGTAACAAATAATTACTGAATGGTGCTGTGCCAATGAAGCCTGTAACTTTTCAAGCATTGCTCACGAACACAGAGCTTTCAAATAGTTGTGGGCGGGGGGCAGGCGGGTTACTCATATATTGCCAAGACTAGCTAGAAACACCAGGAAAGTTGCCTATGTGAACAAGATAAAAAACAAGTTAAAAATAGCAACAAAAAAATCTTGGTGTTAATAGAGTCGGAAACAAAAGCAAAAATACATGTGCATACATACATACGCACATGAACATACATCCTCAGAAAAATAAGATATTCTATGAACTAAGTCTAGGATATTTAGAAAACAGAATAGAAATGAAAGAAGTCTTAGAAAATTAAAATACTTTTAGAAATATGTTATAAATTTAATAGAAGAAAGATAATGTTGAAAGACCAAACTGAAAAATTCTCCTAGAAAAATCAGAGAAAATAGCATATAAACAACTGGAGAAAAACAGAAGAAAACCAAGCATCAGTCTAGGAGGTACAACATCTGACTAAGAAAGGATCAAATCTCTTGAAAACAACAATGAAGCTAGAAAAGAGTGGAGCAATGCTTTCAAGACTCTGACAGAAAATGATTTTCAATTTGAAATTCTATGTGCAAACTATCAATGAAATGTGAGGGTGGAATAAAGATATTTTAGACATGTAAGAACTCAGAAAATTTACCTTTCACATACTATTTCTTAGGAAGCTATAAATGTTTTAGAAAGTGTTCTAGTAAACAAGAGATTAAACTAGGAAATAGGAGGTCCAACACAGGAGGGTGACAAAGGGAGGTCATGGGATAAGCACTGTATAGCAGGCCAAGAGAGCAACCAGTACAGACCGGTACACAAGGACAACTACAGAACAGACCTCTCTAGTAAAAATGAGCACATTATCTGAGATTTGGGTACAAACACACTTCAAAACTACTGATGCGACCAAGGCAGATCTGACAGAGAAGTTGAAAAAATTCTAAGGGGTTTGTAGAAAATTATGTGTGTTAAAAATGAGGC